CTGAGCCGGTGAGATTTGAACAGCCGAACTGCAGAACTGCAGTCAGCTGAAGTAGCCTGCAGTGCTGCATTTAACCACTGCGCCACCTGGGCTCTCTTAAGCAGCACTGAACATAACTATTACCTAGACAGGAGGATTAGTTAGTTATGTATCCTAAGGAATTTCAGGGCCACTGAGCAGATTAAAATAATCAGGAAGAAGATACCAGCAAACTACTCCCATATTGCACCATAAAAACGGCAAGATTCTGACCAGGGAGTCATCAGGAGTCAAGCACAACTCAAGGACCTTTACCTTCAGCCTCACAATGAGTAAGTTACTCTTCACTTAAATATATGCATTTCCTTCAGGTAAGCTAAGGAGCTCCAGAAGAAGGAGCATGGCCTTCCCAATCCTGCTTCATCCTTCTTTCTGATTTCTACTACTCACTTTTAGAAAGCCCAACCCAACCTTTTACCCACAGTTTGTCTAAGCTCTCAATAGCTCAACAAAGTTTTGCTGGCCTTGAGTAATTTCAGCTTGTAGGAGCTGTAGGTCTAACTGTCACCAGCATCCTTCTAACAGGATTTCCAGGGAAAACAAAATTAGCCAGAAGGGAGAAAATAGAAGGGGATTAAGCATAGGAGCAGGGGAACAGTTGGGGAAAAGAGGATTTATTCATGAGCTTGACCAAAGAAAAGAACTTGAGGCTATCAGAAAGCGAGGCAATTGGTCCCTTATCTAGCAGTGTCAACAGCCACACAGACTGCAGATGTAAGAGAAATGGGAAGTGCCCCAAAAGGACCAAAACAGGCCAATTTGGGGAAAGCTTTCTGGTCCCTTTAAAAAAAAAATGTTTGGGGGAAAAAAACTTGGAAAGGGCTTCTAATACAGTGGTCTTTTGGAAAAAAAAAACCAATAATGATTCACATTTTTCAGATTCACAGCCACCCTATTATTGAGCACCCCTGGAGATGAGGGCAAGGGGAGGAGGAGAGAGGAGGAGAGAGGGAGGGGAGGGAGATGAAAAGAGGAAGAGAAATGAAAAAAAAGAGAGAGAAAAGATCTTCATTTTCGCTTGCAATCTTTGTGCACATTTTCCTACCAAAGATGACAGAGCTGCATTTGTTGCTGAGTCAAAGCCCCGAAGCCTGCTCTTCCAAAGCTCCAACCAAAATACTCCATAACTTGGGAATAAGCCTGTTTGTTCCGAGTGTTGTTATTTTTTTAAGGTTCTTTCTCCATGATGGCTAAGGAAGGCACCAATTGCAAGGACAAAGAGAGGGTGGAAGGGGGGGCTCCCTGTTGAATTCACCCTCCCCCCCCTTTGGAAATTGAGCTGGAACTTTGCACAAAGTAGCTGGAGGAAGAAAGGGGGGAGCAGGATTCTTTTTGGGGGACGGGTTCACCCCCTTGTTTGCTTACTCATTTACTTATATTGGAGTTAAGTGTCTCTGCCTCAGATGGGCGAGCCTCCCTTCCCCAAAGAAGCCCGTTTGCCCATCAAATCCAAAGGCGGAAAGGATGGATGGATGGATGGATGGATGGATGGATGGATGGATGGATGGATGGATGGATGGAAGGAAGGAAGAAAAGCCAGGAAGGAAGGAAGTGAAGGAAGGAAGGATGGATGGAAGGAAGGATAGAAGGAAGGAAGAAGGATGGATGGATGGATGAAAGGAAGGGAGAAGGCAGGGAGATGTTTCCAGACGACCGCCGGCTAACTAGAAGAATTAAAAATAATAACAATAATGTTTTTTTTAAATAAAACCAGAATACTGGACCAGGCTTTCACGCGGATCTTCAGCTCTCCTTCCTGAGGCTCCGGCATCACTTTTTTAGACACCCGGAGCTTGTTGAGGCCCCCGAAAGCGGAGAGCACCACGGCTCGCATCTCTTTGGCATCCCCGGCTTTCGGGACGACGCCGCCGCCGCCGCTGTTGTTGCCGCCGCCGTTCTCTCCGTTGCCGCTGCCGCCGCCTTCGGGAGCCTCCTTCTCGATCATCTGCTCCGTCTCCTCAGCTTTCCCGGCTCCTTCCTTGGCCATGGCGCTGCTCCGGCGGCAGAAGAAGGCGCAGGGGCTGGAGAGCCGCGTTTAAGGGGACGGGGCCGCGCGCGCGCGCCGGGAGGGGGAGCCGGAGGACGGGAGCGCGCCTGTTTTTGGCCGGCCGGCTTCGCCCGCAGACCAATTGGGTCCGTCTCCCCCCCCCTACGCCACCCAATACGATGGAGAGGCGCGCGCGGCGGAGGTGCCGGGCTGGCAGGGGCTCGGGGCGTGTGCGTAGCCCATGACGTAGACGCGCAGACGATTTTATTTTATTTTATTTTCTCTCGAGCTCGGGTTTGTAAACTCCCCGGGGGCGGGTTTTTTTTTTTTGGGGGGGGGGTGTCGGACGGCAGCAGTCGCCTACTTTGAGGGCTTCGGTCGAGCGCTCGGGCTTTTTGAACGCGTCGTTCCCGAGAGAAGAGATTTCGGGGGCAAATAAATAAATAAGAAAGAAGAGAGAAAGGAAAAGGAAAAAAGGAAGGAAGGAAGGAAGAGGAAAAAGGAAGGAAGGAGAGAGAGAAAGAGAAAGGAAGAAAGAAAAGAAAGAGAAAAAAAGAAAGGGAAAGAAAGGAGAAAAAGACGAAGGAAGGAAGAAAAAGAAGAAGAAAGGAGGAAGAGAAAGAGAGAAAGAAAAAGGAAGGAAGCAAAAGAAAAGAAGAAAGAAAACGGTTGCTGTGATTGAGTTTGGCCTGCAGATGCTATTGGGTGGTTTTGGGTTCTGTGGCTCCTATGAACCTTGTGTTTATAATCCTCATTTGGGATTGAAAGGAGCAGTTTAAAGGCAGGAAGGGGGGGGGGAGAAACAGGTGTGGAAGGGATGCCGCTATTTGGGAAGAAAGGATGCTGCCTGGATGTTGCATACCTGGGAGGAGGGATCATGCTGTCCCTGTGCCCAGGCAGATGGGCCTTCACTGATGCACAGGTGGCCTGAGATAATCTTAGCAAGTTTAGGTTGGCAGACCCGCCCAGAAGCCATGGTCTGCGGTGCAAGCTACAATGATTAGATTTGCACAAGGCATAAACGGGGGCTTACAACCCTCAGTTTGCTTGAGCCAGAACTCCCTCATGCAATTTGATCCATTTGGTTGAACAAGTCATGGTTTATGGAGTAAGCCACACTTAGTTAGCTTTGCATGACATCCTAAGGCTGCTTTTAACAAGAACTAAAGATTTAAAAAATACTCCTGCCTCTTCCAAAGCACTTTGGAAGAAGATTATCTGTAGTTGTCTGATTCTGGATTGATTACTGGATTCTGGACGGATTACTATGGAACTGTCCTATTACTGAAATTTGGAACTGGGTTCACCCCGTTAAGCCACGACTGGGCTTAACTCCAGAATCTGTGGAATAAATCACATTTGGTGAGCTTCTGACATTGCAATGGGCTGTAGACTTCCGACCACCTTGATGGCATAAACAGGGAACTATGGAAAAAAAACCTAAGTAGATGAAATCATCCTTAATAATATGGAGAAGAATTGTGGTCTTCAGAATACCTCTGAACCTACTGCCCCCAATTAAATTCCATTATTCCACATGAAATCTTCCTGCAATTGTCCTTTTTCTTACTGATGCTCTTTTTTTCCCCATGAAAAATTTCAGATGCAGGTATGACTATAGCCACGTATACAATCCCAACATCCTCCAGAGACTCAGAAAAGGCACTGAGTTATGATTCATCACCCTGTTCTAATTTGTCATGATTTTTTTATATTTTTAAAAAGGAGGTTCCCAAATAAATTACATTTAAGCTTGCTAGAGGAAGTGATTCCAAAAGGTATCGCCACTATTAAATTGTCTTTTTTTTCCTCAACTCTAGTTGCCTGGCTAAAAACATCAGAAATGCTACACCTGTGGATCTTTTCAGAGTTTATGTTTCAGAAATGAATTTGGGGTGGGGGTGGGGATTGAGAGACGAATGCTCCTAAAAATAGCATTTATTCTGCCTGCTCTTTTCTGTATGGTCAAAACTCAACATGGGTGTCACAACCGTACAATCAAAGCTCTCCCTGTTTTCGGTGTGCTGTGTCCCACAGCTTCAAATCCACCATTGTAGTTGGTGGATTGGCTTTTTTTGACATATGTCTCAGGAAATTTGCTTCCAACTGGTTGGCAAATTCAGTTGCATCAGAAGTGTCTGAGCATTTTTGGTAGGAAACTAATCTGATGAGGTCTTCACCAGTAGCCCGCCATCCATCTTCCACCTAATAGGTTCCTTTGCTAGCAGAAAGAAATGGTGTTGCTGGAAAAAGAATAACAACCCATCAAATCCTTTTCAGAAGCAATGTCTCCTAATTAACAGTACTTAGTGTGGCAAATAGGAAGTACTGGAGAGGAAAACCATATGCCAGCAGACTCTCAAATTTCTGAGAAAAAAATAAAAACTGAAAACAACTGAGAGAGAAACTTAATACTAGAAAACACCCCTGTCAACAAATAAACCCAATGCATACTTCCAAAAGTGGATCCCCTCCATATTTTTTTTTAAAAAGCAGCATTTGACTTAATTTGATCTCTACCTCTAAACAAGGTTGGGCCTTGTAGTACTTAGATGGAAGACACTGAGAAATTCTAAGCAAACTATTTACTTGTAGCCAAGGAAACAACATGGAGATCTTCACGAAGTCACCCAGGAGTCAAGCTGAATTCAAGAGAAGCTTGATTGGATTTCTCTTTCCATCTAATGCAACTTGGATTGAGGTGGGAGGCGGGTTCTGAAATTTAGAGGTGGGAAAAGGCTTTTGAGAAGATGAGAACCTGACTTCAAGTGGCTGGTCATCAGCTTTGGAAAAGGAACATGGTCTCTATCATCAATCTATCTATCTATCTATCTATCTATCTATCTATCTATCTATCTATCTATCTATCTATCTATCTATCTTTCTTTCTTTCTTTCTTTCTTTTTTTCTTTTTTTCTTTCTCCTATCATCAATCTAACTTCTATCTATCATCCATTCATATCTATCTATCTATCTATCTATCTATCTATCTATCTATCTATCTATCTATCTATCTATCTATCTATCTAATCAAATCAGGAATTAAGGAGAAGCTTCCTAACAGTGAGGACAATTAACCAGTGGAACAGCTTGCCTCCAGAAATTGTGTGCGCTCCATCACTGGAGGTTTTTAAGAAGAGACTAGACAGCTATTTCTCTGAAATGGTATAGGTTCTCCTGCTTGAGCTGGGAGCTAGAAGACCTCCAAGGTCCTTCCAGTCTTATTCTATTCTATTCTATTCTATTCTATTCTACTCTACCATACCCTACCCTACCCTACCCTACCCTATTTCATCCAATCATCTCTGTCTGTATCTGTCTGCAGATACCTACCTGCCATCTATTTATCTATCTTTCTGGGTTGACACCATAAAGTAATCCAATCAATAAGTCACATTACAGTGTATTGTCCACAATGAAAGAAGAAAAAGAAGTCCTTTTTTCCATGAATCCCAGCATGGAACTAAGTTCTGATTTATTTCTGTTAGTAGCTATCAGGCTAGTTCACTGATAATTGATTTTCAGTGAGACATGTCAGTTGAAAAGACATTTAGAATTTTTAGCAGTACATAAAGTGTTTTTAATGGAACTATTTGTTGTCTAAACCAGTAGTACCAGTAACATAAAATGTGATTTTCCATCTCTTTTTTGTTCCTCCAACCAAAATATTGAGTTTGCTTTCCCCCCACTGCTACTTTCTGTTTATTTCAAAATGAGAAGACACAGTCACTGCAGTGTAAGCCCTAAAATAGGCTCAGCTCAGTTAACAAAAATAAACAATTTTGTCTCACAATGTAAGTGCAGAAAAGGGCCAAATGGACCTGTCATTCCCCAAGCATTGCCTACCTAAATAATAAACCTTATTTTCCATCTGTTTTTTAATCTAAATTATAGTGTAGAAAATTGTCCTGACAATACTGCCCTGAAAATCTGACTCTGCAGGTTTTCTAAAGTCCACCTTAAAAATAAAAGAAAAAAAAGGCAAAATTGGTTGGTGCTACTTGACTGATGTTTTCTTCTCCAACTGTTGCTTCGAATTCTGTTTTGCTTTAATCTCAGGGGTAATAGCAGCCAATTTCGAATCACAAACAATGGATGGGATGACACAATGCTGCTAGAAAGCTAATTAGTTCAGCTGCATTGTGACATCACAAAGGCAGGTGAGGAAGGGCGAATTGAAAATGCAGGGAAGAGTGGACACATCAACAATTCAAGGTTTTTTGTGAAAATGGGAAAAACACAGCAATATGAATGAATTTGGCTTCGATGTAGTCTTGAAATAAGTATGCTTAAGGCTTAGAAAGAAAGAAGAATCTAACAAAAGAGAATATTGGTAGCTCAGGATTGAACTGTGAAGTCCTTAGTGGTATGTCCCAAAGGTGCTTTCTCAGGAGGCAACTGGACTTTCTTGTTTTTTTTCTTTGAAGATGTTTTGCTTCTTATCCAACTGGCAGACGCTTCTTTACCCAACCAGGTAACATCATCAGTGCTGGAAAGGAATGTGATCTGCTCTCTATTCAGGAATCAACCAATCAGTTTTCTACCAACATTGACAGGGCAAACCATTTTATGTAAACAGAGAGCAAACCCCACTGCTTTCCAGCACTGATAATATTACCTAGTTGGGTGATGAAACATCTGCAAGAAAACAACCAAGCTCAGAGGTTGCCAAGCATCCCACAAACAGAAGTCTGGATTATTTCTGTACATTGTGTTGATTACATAGTCCAGCATTTCCTTTTGATATCATAAAAATATGCACGATGCCAGGCAAAATAAGCATATAATGTATGGAATGGTTTACACCTGAAGTATTTTTGTCTGTGGAGTGCTTGATGCTCTCAAAGCTTCATTGTGAGCACCATCAGTGCTATTTTTCTCTGTTGTAGAATTTGCCTGTTTATACAATTGTGGAATTGTATTGCTGGAAAAAGGATTATTTAAGCCGTCATTCTGTTGTCACTGCTGGAATCCAATTGAAAGAATCCAGGGAATATGTCTACCTAGCAAGCATCCCTTTGAGCCCATCTAACCAAGGATAACCCATTGC